TCACTAGCTAAGCGACCTGGTCTGCTCTGGCTAGAGCAGATTTTCCTTCTTGCCGTATTGGGTTCTGCTCCTTGGCTTCCCATCATCATGCTCCCAAGCAACCCTGGGCTGCTTCGTTCACTCCCTTGTTCTCAGGACCTAAAACTGCAGTTGCTTCCAGAATACTTTACATGTGGCATTTCTCAGCTCTGCTACTATGAAAACTCTACTGAGTGCCCACTGCCGGTCACTTACCACAGGACCAACTTATCTTCTAATACCAGTGGCCCTGAGGCTCTGTTTCTACACCACGTTCATGACCAGATCCTTCCATGAGCTCAGCTAGTCTTTTTGGCTGGAAGGGTAACTGAGACCAAGTCCAGCCTGAGAATCTGCCCCTTCCTTAAAAATAGACTCCATCACTCTCCATATACTATTCCACCGAATGTCTCCTCTGGCTACCTTGTTCCCCTTTGACATGCCCACCATCACATAGACAACAGGACAATCCATGATGGATTCCCAAATTTGGTGAGTGATGAACAGAGATAAACAAGAGGCCAGTGTGGGAAAAAACTTGGAATTCAGGAGTGAGGGACCCAAAAGTGCAGAGACCGGGGAACAAGGCAGGAAGATTCTACACTGGCAAATTAACAGAATTTGCAAAATAATAAGAATTTTCATCTCATATTGCTGGAAAGCCATTGCACCCAAAATTTTCACTTTCATTTAGTTGATTTAATATTTTGTTCAGTTAAGGTGTATTGAATGAAATATTTTAACAAATAACATACTGATGGAAAGAAAATTCAGTAGCTTTTTGCCTTGGGTAAAGATATGATCTTTCACATTCTACCTAATATTTTAGCTAGAATTTAAGGTAGTAAAAGCTAACAGTTTAAAAAGTAAAAGCAGTGCCACCCATTGACGGCTTAAGAGAGCCAGGCCCTGGACTGAAATATTAACACATGACCCCATTTTCCTCACGTCATCCTATATGGTCACAACAATTACCCTCATTTTACAGATGCAGAAACGGAGGCCTAAAAAGTCAGGTAAAATGCCCATGATGACAAATCTTAAGGGAAAGACTGGGCTTTGCCCCTGGATGTCTGATTCCAAGGCCATGCTACAATCACAAGCTCGTCAAAGATGGAAGTTGGGAGTTCAGAAAGCTGGCTTCCACCTGGGGCAAATCTCCACATTCAGATGGCAGCTCACTTGTGACACCAGCGCAGTGACATCCTTAGGTGAACGTGAGGTGCTCCCTGTTTACGGTACTTTTCCCCCCATGTGGACCTGTCAACCATCCCATGTGAATGATGTCCTGCAGTGAATGATGTCCTCTGTCCAGTCCAGCATGTTGCCACGCGCTCCATGGATGCAGACGCAGCTGGAGGACACTGGGCTATGCTCAGCCTCTGTCTGTGGACTTGGTGATAAAGTGTGTTTGCCAGGAGAGCTCGGTGTTCTGTCACTTGTTTGTTCATGCTGGAGTTGGGAGGCACCCCACAGCGCAGGCTGCAAAACAACAGATGATGCTGTGCTGGTCACCGTGGAAACCAGACCCTGGGTGGAAGGAGTCTCTCTTGGCACTGCTGTGTGCATGCACTTCCAACAGTTGACTCTCTGTCCCTTAGAGAGGTCTGAGTCCCCAAAATCACTTACAGAATCCCAAATCCAAAATGTCAATTTTCCAACATGTGCTGATATGCACAGTTCTAAAGGACGTTTAACATATTTTTTAATGGCCTGTGGTAGGCAGAATAACGCGTCTCTAAAGATGTTTATGTCCTGATTCCTGGAACCTGTGAATATGTTACCTTACATGACAAAGGGGAACTAAGGTTGTTAATCAGCTGACCTTAAAAGAGGGACATTATTCTGGGTTATCCAGTGGGCCCAATGTAATCACAAGGGTCCTTAAATGTGGAAAGAAGAGGCAGAAGAAAAGTCAGAGATGTGTGGGAGGAGGATCAACTAGCTGTTGCTGGCTTTGAGGATGGAGGAGGAAAGCCACCAGGCATGGAGCGTGGTGGCCTCTAGAAGTCCAAACGTACAAGGAAACAGGTTCTGCCCTGGAGCCTCCAGGAGGAACGCGGCCCTGCCAACACCTTGTTCTATCTCAGGAGACCTCTGTCAGGCTTCCAGCCTACAGAACCATTAAAACACTAAAGTTGTGTTGTTTTAAGCCACCGAGTTTGTGGTCATTTGCACAGCAGCCATAGGAAAACAATACACTGCTAAAAATTTTTAAAAATAGTAATCTATTGAGTGAATACTTGGAGACCTGTGACTTTGTTAATTTAGAAGTTGTTCCTGGGCCCAGACAGCTCCACGGGGAGACACGGGCACTGTGAACGGGGGGACGGTGCAGACACAGCCCTGGTCAAACAGCGTTTGAGAAGCCAGGTGCAGGCATAACAACATGCCTTTCTGCTCATGTTAGCAGTTTCCGTTACCTGAGGAAATATCTAGAATTAATATGGATTAGTTATATTTGAAGAATGGAAATAACGGATCTGGGTTCTAAGGGGTTGTGAGCTGATGAGAGAAAAAATATGATGGCAAACCACCAAAGGGAAAATATAATTTTTCAGTATTTTTGCAAACTCTTGTTCTATTTCCCATATCAATGTGATATAGAAAACATTACCATGTTGATTTCCCGGGTTCTTGGGGAGTATTTTATAATTCATAATAAGCTAAGAAGACTCAGAACTTAGCGTACCCTAAAGTACTAAAATTAAAAATTAAACTAACATTAAATTTTTTTTCAGTTAGCTAATGAACAAACTTGAGTGCCTACCACATTTAAGATACTGATCTATGTGCTATGGAGTATAAACATATGTTTCTTCCATTTCTCAAGGAATTAATAATCTAGAACATATGTATGTATATATACACACGCACATATGTACACAGACACACAGACAGATGCAGACACACATATACACACATACAAATAATTATATCATAGGTACACAGACACACGCAGACACACATATACACACATACAAATAATTATATCATAGGTAGAAGGTGGGAAGAGAGACATAAAACATACATGGAGGCGAGAGAGGTTACAACGCGTTGAACAACTGTATTTGCCATATGCTCATCATGTTTCAAAGACAATCTCTGACCCTCACTGTGCAGCCACGTACTGTATATTCCCTATTTTAAGATTAAGAAAATCAGACTCAGAAAAGTGACTTACTCAAGGCCAAATGGCTAGTGGTGACAATCAGAAATTTCTTATACTAAGAAGAGCTTGGTTCAGATGCCCCAGCTACGTACCTGGTACTGTTCTCAATGTTTTACACCCTCAGCAAGGTATGAAGTAGGTCCTTCTTATTATCCTCTTTTACAGGTGAGGAAACAGAGGCATTGAGAGGTAAGTACCATCCCTAAAGTCACACTCTTAGCAAGTGGCAGAGCTATGACCGAACATCAGAATCCTGGCTCTACAGTCCGTCGCTCAACCACTATCCACACAAACTCTTTATAGTCACTCTTCGCCACATGAATGCTGAGGGTTTCCTTATAAACCTGCTTAAAACTGGAGCCTAATACACTGCTTGACAGAAAACCATAGAATTTGTCATTTTTATGGATATGAATTAATATTATAATACTTGGAAGGAGTGTTCAAACCCAGAAGACTCTCTCGTGAAGTGGTAGAAAGTAATCACTGTATCTGTGACAAGGACGTGAGGTGCACTGTGACTCCCACTGTGGCTTCAGCGGAAGATCTCAAGGCTGAAGTCACTTATTCTAAACTTCTGCAGGTTAGAGAACCCCTCATTAATTTTCTTGGGGTTGTGTAAATATTATAGGAAACTGTGGTTGCTTGTTTTATTCATAACTCACAAAAACAAAGCACTTTTGCATGTGCTTCTTTCTCCTTTCATTTTGCTCTGGACATTTCTTTGAGTTGTCCTCCAAACACATCTCCAGATTCTGAGAATTGGACAGTTGACAAAACGACCAACTATGCGGAAAAAAATCTAAAGTGAGAAATTCTCTCTGTGTCTATTTCTCCACTTCAGTGTTATTTTCATTTGTTTGCATTTCCCACCCTTGTGACAATGTTACAGTGTTTTGGCAAAGTGATAATAGAATTTTTCTGGAAGAAATGGAGAAAAGAACACATCCTTCTTCATATGGCAATCTGCAATTAGCAGTTGTTTTTCAGTGATGTGTGACAGTCAGGGAGCCCTGCCTTTCTGTAAGCCTGGGCTCCTTTATTTGAGAATTGTTTCCTCTCTCAGAATGGGTAGAATTTCAAACCTTTGATTATCAACTTGACCTGAAGTTTTGGACTAGAAGCCATGAGTTTTGCCCTCAGCTTCTGATCTGCTGCGAAGCTGCGGTACGGAGGCGGTCAGAACTACAACCGCGTGAACACGGACCCCTGCTGGCTGGGCTCGTGGCACCATGTTCTCCTTGAATCTTTAAATAATATCATTTTAACTCTCAAATAAACTCTCAGATTGAGAAATTTGCCCAAGTTCACACTGACAGTGACCAGAGTCTGTCAATCTGGCTCCAGGTGAATCCTTAAAGTTACCGTCTATCTAGGTGTGGTTAACCAATATTCGGGTAAAGTAGAGCAGAAATAGAATTGATGTTGTACTTTAAACTACGGAGTTCACATCTGAATTAAAATTTAGATTCTACTCATTACTCATTGTACGATATTAGATTTAACAATCTCAGCCTCAATTTCCTTAGTGGTAAGATGGAAACAGTATTACCTACTTTGCAGTTTTTCTGAGAATACTAGAGATAATATATTTGAAATGCCCCACGTAGTGCCTGATATATAGTAGCCACCAATAGGTAGTAGTTATTATTAATTCATAAACATATGAATTCACAAATAAATTTTTGTTATGCTCCGAATATGCATAAAATATTCAATAAGAAAAAAATGTTTGCTCCCTTTACAAGTATATCTGTATGAGGGAGAGTTGTAGGTGAATTGCTAAATAGGGCAAGCTGCAGAGACAGACTCATCAGTGATCTTTGTAGCAGCACGAGCAAAGCGATGTAAGGACACTGCAGAGAAGGACTCACATAGCCGTGCTGGTGCCCAGGGGCTCAGGCCAGGAACACGAGACAGTAGGTGACAAGACTAACCCACTGTGAGGGATGGCCTGTCTGGGTTCACATCGGCTCAGGCATGTGGGCAGAAGGAAACCTCAGGCATGTGGGCAGAAGGAAACCTGGAGATTGGAGGTTCCCAGAATCTACACTATTGTGGGGTTGGGGTGGGGGAGGGAGAGCTGGGCTGACTCACGGGAACTCAGCCACCTGCCCCAGAGGCTCAGCGTGATCTTCCCAGGTTTCCCAAGATGAAAGGGCCTTATTCCAAAAAGACTGCACCAATCTACCTTCCAATGAGGAGGCCATGGGACTGCCTATTTTGCTTAATTCTAAGAAACCTCAAAAAAAATTTTTTCTCAAAGAATTAATTTTCTAGACTTCATACCAAGCTAATGCCAAAATTGAAAGATAAGAGTGGCACTTCCCTCTCATGAATTCAGAAATTAACTGGTCTGGGATGTCAAAGACTTGGGCAAGCAGGGGTCAAGAATAAACAAGCAAACAACGGAACAAACCCCGACGGCAAGCGTGTCACACAGACTGAAGTAACGCTGCAGCCGCTGGGACGGTCGCTGTGCTCTGGAAGGCTTCTGATAGTAAGAGAGGAAAACATCAAGATCCATCATGACATTTCTTCTTAGCCTTGAAGTAAACCTGATGTGGTGGACGTGCCTTCTTAAACACCTAGATTTCAAGGCCCACCCCCCGAGATTCTGACTTCGTAGACCTAAGGTGTAGGCCAGGGTCCTGCATTTTCACCGAGATCCCAGGTGGTTCTGAGGCAGGTAGAGCAAACTTTGAGAAACACTGACCGCTGGCCTCACCTCTGGCTGCACCCTGACCCAACGGGGAGCTTTTAAAATCTCAGATGGCTGAGAGCCGCCAGTGGACGGCTTGCAAAGGGGTGAAAAGATTGTGGTTATTAAATGTATTTTAAAACCTTATGAAATGCTTTAGGAGCATTCAAGACCTTGCAGTGGATTCCAGAGTGTTTATATTTTAGTTATTAGAAAAGTGTGATAAACATAGAATTCTTAATAACCAGAGTTTATGACATTCTCTGCTTTTTATTTTACTAAAACAAGAGAAGGAACAGAGTAAACTCCACAGACTATTCTTGAAGCAGATGGTAAATATCAGGTATTGTGAGAAATTCCTCACTAAATATTAAAAAATAAATAATATTTTTATTGCTTTTCTGAGAGTCTCTTTGCACAACTAGGATGAGATTTTTGTTGTTACTGTTGTGTTATGAGTCCCTGAGTCTGCACCCAGAAAAAGGTTTTGAATTCTGATAACAAGTATTTACGCCTCCTTCCTAGTATTAGAATCAGTGATTGTTCACTTAATTGCTTAGCAACCTACTTGCAGAAGGCTTAACTCTTCAAGGTTCAAATCTACTTCATTAATAGTTATCTGTTAGATAAATGATCCATAAAACTTTGACAAGTAATTTTTATAAATGATAAATGTAGCGTCTCCACCATCAGTTGCTCTAAAGGTTAATGGCAGGCTTGTCATTTCCCTCAGTTTCATTAGGCGGATATTGTCAGAAAGGTGTGTACCAGCACTGACAGGTTTACTGAATCAATAGTGGTAATGAGGAGCTGCTCTCTTCAGGAAGTGGAAGTAGAATATGGGTGTTGTTTTGCTCATCACACGCCTTGGATCAATGATCTGGGTCTTGAAAATAACCAGCTATGTTATCGGTCACCTACAGGCAGGCAGAGAATTTGGTAAATGATAGTGAACTACACAGATTAAGGTGATGGACAGGTAGGTAAGATTTTCACTGTGTTTCTGGAAAATAATAAAGTCTCTGGCCATAGGATAGGACAAGGGTTAGTTTAAGCTGGGCACGATGAGTGGTAAGACTCAAGTTTGGCAACCACATGTCACCTCCTCTTTATTTTCAAAAATAAGTTAAAAAAACAAAAACAAAGCATTTAATTGTATAGGATGGAGACTTCACTAAGAGGATTTGAGGCTGAAACTGGTTATTCCTGTATTTAGTGTCTCTGTAAAACCCCAAATGTCTTCGGCTTGGCTTTGAATTGCACTAATTTACAACACTCTAGTTCTGTTCAGCGACTTTAAGAATGTGGCTCATTAAACAAAACCTGGTACCTTAAAGGAGATGATGAACCTCAGTGGGTAAGCGTTTTACCTGCATATTTATGAGCTCAATACAGAGAAGCAGATATTTCCATATGAGGTGATATTAAGTCAATTTCTCATTTAAAAGCAAAAACACAACAACAGTGTTGCATTTAGAGGCGTTTGTCTTGGTTGGTTTGGAAGCTCACAGTATCCAAGATCCCCTAGAACATGGGATGCGGACTTTAGTTTATTCACAGTTATCCCAGGGCCTAGAACAGTCTTACCTCGGGGTAAGCACTTGACAAACACTTGTTGAACAATGGATGTTTATCCACAGATAAACAGACTCTCGTACCAAGAGTTTACCACATTTTAACAATATGCCAACTTTTGTGTCAAAAGAGGGGAAAATAATAACACATATTTGCAAGTGGGAAGACAGGTGTTGCAGGAGGAGGGGAAAGTGTGTGTAAAAAGGCCCTGGTAGAAAAATTGTAAAGATCTCCAGGGGAGCTAAAAGTGGAGTAGAAAAGGAGATGTGATCCTAGTTTATGGTGTAGTTTAGCTGTTAGTGGTCATAACGGTGCAAACACCACACACTGCCGCAACCACAGTTACAACACGACGACTAGAAGAACGGGTCATGAGAACCGTGTCTCTTTACGGTGTGGGAAGATGTCACTTTTCATCCCCCAGGACAGAAAGTCAATCAACAACGCCTAAACCTGAAAGTCAAGAAGTAGCTACAGAAGCATGAAATTTAAAAACTTGGAAATGAATCCCAAAACAATCAGCTAAAAGAAACGAAAGTGTTTGCCTGTGAGGAGGAGCGAATAGTGGACTGGTGGTTTTGTATGCACGTGCGTGTCTGTGTGTGTGTGTGTGTGTGTGTGCGCGCGCGCACATGTGTGTTTGTTTTGTAATAAAAGTTCTTCAGAAAGGCAGAATTACAAGGAATGTCACATCAAGGCTAGTGGACTGGCTCCATCCCAGGACCTTGTTGCTGATGACCTCATACTCACGTGACCTACGGATGCACCAAGGAGTCTTCATATCAAATCTAGAGCAGGCCACTACCCACGGCCTATTACACGCAGTTCTCTTCGTAACACAACGTCAAATAGGTGTTAAAAGTGGAGAGACCGTAGACGAGAAGACTCACGCTTCACTCAGCCTCCAGAGAAATCCTTTTGAAACAAAATTCTGGTTAAGTTGGCTCTTTATTTAGAAGCCCTCCACGCCCTGTCACGCACACACGGTGTGCCCCTGACCACCTTCCCGCCTCTTCTCGTGTCTCACCTTCCTCACCAGTCGTTCCTCTCCAGCCGCGCTGTTTCTGTACAATTTCTCAAACAGCATCATTTCTTCTTTAAGGTACGTTATGAAAAATATCCCTGAAAAATCTCATCAATGTATCTACTGCAAGGATGTTGTTGAGTGTTGGGATTTGGGGGGGGCAATAAATAACGCCCCTCTTCAAGCTCAAGGCCTGACCAATTGTGAAATAGGCAGAGTGTCTGACAGATGAAGGTCAAGATTTCCCTTCCCGCTGAGGGAGCTGATGAGAGGGGGATCCTAGCTCTGTAGCAGAATGGGCTCCCTGAGGATGCACCAGCGGAGCCACAGGCTGACGTGGACGACAGCAGCCTAACCCCACCCCTCTGAGGCTAAGCTGCATGCTGAAACTTACCCTGGGGCTCGGAGAATTCAGATTCCCCGAAGGCAGATTGGTTCCAAGAGTTACAAACAAGGAAGGGGCTGAGCTGTACACACTCTTTCCCTCAAATTCCCTGATTAGGTGAGTCATACCTTCCGCTTCGGGGCAGGAGGAAGGGCAAGAGAGAAGCTTCTAGTCTCCTGCTTTCCCTCCTGGGGTGGGGAGTGGACATTCCGTTTTCCCCATGGAAACATGAGAGAAGAGGGGAGAGTCCTCTACCCCTAAAGAGCAGAACCCTCTTCACTACATTCACACGACGTCTCCTTTGCAGAGACTCACTAGCAAGAATATCTCTTAGATTTCATACTAAAAATAGCTATTTAACAGCTAGTTTGTTCTTACGGCTTTTTTAGACAATGCAGATTATTTTCAAATTAGCTGCTAGAAAAGCAGAGCTAAATCTGCGGCCACTTGTAATAGAGCAGACGGGACAAGAGGGTGGATGTGCTGGGTCCTGACTGTAGCCCCAGCTCTTATTCTTCTGCATAATCTCCACCTCCCCCTTGCTCACACATTTTTAACTCACTTTGTTCTTACAGTGGTGTGTGTGTCTCTGCATGCACCTCAAATTCTGTCCTGAAAAGCTTGGTTATAGGGATATTTTTTTAATTATCATAATTATCATGTTAGTGGATACCAAATATTCATTTTACTAGGTTCCTAAACCATTTCTGTGCTAGTTATTTCTTAGGCTGCTTCCCGTGTTTCACTGTCATATATGAAACTACAACCTTCTTTATGCAGACTGTTTTTTTCTCTTTAGTGTTATTTCCCTAAAAATTCCTATATGTTTGATAACTGGAGTCAAGAGATATGCACAGTTTTCTGGCTTTTAAATATTTTTCCACAATGCTATCATAAAGAGCTGTAACAGATTATTACTACCAGCAATGGATTATACTAACAGTTTCAACAAAACTTTCCCAGGCTAGGATATAAATGTTAAAAATTTTTACTAGTTTAATAAGTGTAAAGTGCCAATTCTTTGCTGGCTAATCAGATCAGTACTCCAAAATTTTGCTCATTAATTGTATTTCCAGTCATATGAAATGAGTGTTCACATCACTGACTTCATTATCTATTGTAATCCACGAGGTCTT